TACAATGCTATTCATATTTAGCATGTTCAATGCTAATCAAATTGAGCATATACAGTAATATTCAATCTAAGCATATATGATACTAATCATACTGAGGAAATAAAATACTAACCAAATTGAGAATATGCAATTTTGATCAAATCAAGCATGTAAAATGATTTTCATACTGAGCACATGATGCTACTTATATTGAGCATATACAATGCTAACCAAATTGAACATATACATAGATATTGATACCGAGCATATGAAATAATATTACTCATATTGAGCATACAGCATGCAATTCATATTGATTATAAACATGGCTTCTCATATCTGGCACAGGTAATTCTATAAAAATAAGCTTAAAGAAAGCTATACATTGAGGGTGCCAGTATTGTTTTATGCCAGTTATGGCATTCTTGAATGCTGGAGGGACCAACCTGACCTTACTCATGGCATCCAAACCAAGGTCTTTCTCGGTCACAAATGAACACATTTAACACAAGAAACCCTCTGACCCCGGTATTCATATTAAATATACAATACCATTATTACTGAGCATAGACAGGCTATTCCTATGGAGTATAGGACAACATATGGTATGATTACCCTAATGAGTGCACTGAAACTTCCTACACACAAACATGCTTCGTACACATCTGTACACTGGATGCGATTAGGACTGGTTGATGTTGTATAGTCATGAATACAATGCTACATCTCAAGATGCTTGGCTAGGGGAGCTCCTGTCTAAAACTATCTCATTAACAAGTGACAAAATAGCAGGATGATCACCTTCTGTAACACAGCCGTTGCAACGTTTTATTGATCGCCTTGCTTGCTGAAAACAGTTTTAGAATCTACACCGAAACAACCCAAGAATTTTATTCCTGAGTGTGTTGGGTTTTATTCTGCTGCTAGCAATATTCTAGCAATATCGTGGAGGTCAACACCAGATATTTGTTCTCATTCAGAATCAAACATAGAACTTTAATCTGATGAGTGAACGCTTTACCCACTGACCCGCAATTTTTCTGAGATTGTGATGATCCATACTATTTTGTCAGTATGTACGTATCAAATCCTAAATACCACTGATGATCATATCCAAGTTACACCTACCAGTTTGGAAGGAAATTACTTTGGGACAAAATCATTATTGTACTCATGCTTGTTGTACTCTTGTCTGAGAGTATGTGTGTTGTACTATTGTCTGATAGTATGTCTGTGGTACTATTGTCTGATAGTATAGGTCCGTCTCCTATTCTCGCGGGTTTCCTATTCTCGTGGGTTTCCTATTCTCGAGGTAAATACGTTTTCTGTCGAAATCGCCGATGCGTGACACCTAGCGGTTGTTTACATTGACTGGTAACTAGGAAGTGGACCAAGTCTGTGAGTGATCAAAATCTTGCAGTGTCACGAATATCGGGGAGTTTATACCAACTTGGACATATCATTACTTTTTCTCGCCCTTTCCGGCAGGATTGCTCTTACATACACTCAATAACGTTAATTCCTGGTAATACCGCGAGAATGGGAGAAGCCTCGTTTCCTCAATGGCGGATGACATTGTTTATCACCGGGCTCACGAGTGGTGATTCACCTGATGGATCTGGCAGCTGATAGATGCATATGTTAGAGGAGAAGGCCCTTCATTTAATAACAACAAGCATTCATATGATAAGAATTGTTTGTGTATTTTTTTCAGCCGATATCCGTAAGTACCGCGAGAATAGGAAACGCCTTCCTATGTGTGATGTTCGCCAGTCCAGCCGTCGTGGAGATCACTGATACACCTGAATGAGTGAGATGATGTATATATGGATGGAGACAATCATAATTAACATTCTTGCTTCTCAATCAGCAGATGGATGTTGAGTTAATGACATGGCTATTATGGTATGGAAGTTATTGCTTTTATCACATCACGAGCTCCAACTGCGTGAGTGAGTGAACACATTCTCCACATTGGAAACAGAGTGTCTTATTGGTGTGAGTGACCTTTTATACTTCGACCAATTCATTTTCAAACTTAGACAATTATTATTTTTAAATAATTTAAGTAATTGATTTTGGCCTGTGTTACTGGCCCTAATCGACCCAAGTACAGCAAATGTCAGTAAATAATGTAAATGTTCAGTTTCAAGTTGATACATATTGAGAATGTCATCACTGTGGTGACCTGTATGATCCTGATAACAGGAACCATAACGGAGATAGGCTTCAATGTTTAGCTCTGCATTTATGTATTGGATGAAATGTCAGAAAACAATGTTGAAAGACATGAATTTATGCAAACAGGATCATCCAATTTTGAATAAAATTGAGACGGCTTCTTGCCAAAGGCACTTAGTTTGGAATCAAAGACAAATCCCTGAATTTATTCCAAAATCTCTTAAAATTTATAGAAAAACCGGCCTCTATGCTCAATTGTTCATTTGATGGGCTGAACAAAATATGAATCGCTAGGCAGTTTTGTTGACTGACTGACTGACTGAGTTTGGTTTTACGCCGCTTTTAGCAATATTCCAGCAACATCACGGTGGGGGACACCAGAAATGGGCTTCACACATTGTGCCCATGTGGGGATTCGAACCCGGGTCTTCGACGTAATGAGCCTACGCGTTAACCATTAGGCTACCCCACCGCCCCGGCAGTTTTGTTGAACGAGACACATAGTTTGTCCAACAGTGCTAAAAGTAAAAATTTTCTGTCTCAGAAAAAAACACCATCCCCAAAAAAACAAAGAGAACATGGCGGCACCAGAAATGCTCCTCAATCGTTGTGACCATCTAGGGAATCAAACCTGGTCCTTCATCAATGAGCATGACAAGGCTACCCACTAATTAGTGTCAGAGGATGTACACCCTGACACAGATTAAAGACTTTTCCACTTGTAGCATCCACAAGAAGCTGCTTGTTGTGGCCCTGGAGAATTATCCACGACTCGAAATGCAGCATTATTTTGCCAAAATTGATCAGTGCAATACAAATTACCGCAGCCATAACATAACAGAAGATATTATCAATTCGGAAATTTGTGATACCTATTTGAGAATATTTAACAACATTTGCTGTAGACTTGAGGTCATTTATGGCTGTCTGTTTAAGCCTTGATCTGTAAATCAACCATTCAATCTCAACAGCGGTCCTCACATGTTTGTTTGTTGTTTAATGCTGCACTCAGCAATATTCCAGCTATATGGCAGCAGTCTGTAAACAATCGAGTCTGGACTAGACAATCCAGTGATCAACAGCATGAGCACAGATCTACGCAATTGGGATACGATGGCATGTGTCAACCTAGTCACTAAGCCTGAATTATAAATCCCATTATAGTCGTCTCTTACAACTGTATGGGTTGATGAAGATCAATTCTAGCCCGGAACTTCTCGGGTCTGCATGAACAAATCAATACATGAGTAAGTGAATGGGTGAAGTAATGTCCTAGTGTTGACGATGATGTTGACGATGATGTTGATGACCATGCTGAAGACGATGTCCTACTACTGAACGCTATGTCAGGGCAGCTGAGGTCCCAAAGTAACTCGGAGAACTGGGTCATATTAGCAACAAAATATGGGTCATCTAAAACTGGAAATATATAGAGACATCTCCACACAGGGTCAAATAGTAAAATGTTACCAAAATACATAACTAATGCTAACAAACGTAAACTCCCATGATGCACCTGTACTCACAGATAAAAGAGCGTGAAGTTTTGTATCTTCCAGAACATCTTCCAAAAATTCTTTTTCCTGCTATGAATAATGGAAAAATTATTTTCAGTGTGTCATGCTGGCTAGTATTTCAGTGTTGCTGTAAAAAAACGTCACACAATTGGACGGTATGTTGATCATATGAATGTACAGGTAATTGCGTCAAACACACCTGATACACACCTGATACATGAGCTGATGCTGAAAGAAACATATAAATATTGACAAGCCATATTAATGTCAATGATGTAATAAAAGGCTTCTTCTCCTGGCTGCTGAAATATAGTTGTCAGTTTAAGCTTATGCCACACATGAATAACTGAATGTCCTGATCATCTAGGGGAAGGGGAAATGGGTCAGACATGGAAGGGGGTGGAGGGGAAGAGATTGGGAGGGGTAAGAGGGGTGGGTGGGGGTGAGAGATGGGTAGGAAGGGTAGGAGGGGAGAGGGATGGGAGTAGGAAGGGTGAGAGATGAGAGGGGTAGGGTGAAGAGATGGGAGAGGTAGGAGGGAGATAGGTAGGAGAGGGTAGGAGGGAGTGAGAGATGGGGATGGTTGAGAGATGGTAGGAGGGGAGAAGAAGGGGCACACAAGAGATGGGGAGGAGGGGGTGAGAGGGGTAGGAAGGTGAGGGGGGTAGGTAGGAGGGGTGACAGAAAGGGAGAGGGGGTAGCAGAGGAGAAAGGCAATAGTCGAAAGGGGAACTTAGTTTGTTGAGTGCATCCAGTTATAAATATTGAGAAGCGTATAAGGATTATCTCCCTTGCTTCACAGCAGCCTGGATGTAAGTTGGGAACTGGAGTGCATCCAGATGTAAATATTGAGAGGCATGTTGCCACTATCCATATTTCACAAGCAATTTCTGTTGCTTTGTGACATGCTAGTTAATCGACACCCATACAACTATGTCTTGGATGAAATGTTGTTTCTTGTTTTAGCTGGTCCTGAAATCCAAATGTCTATAACTCCTGTCAAAGTGGGTTAAACATGGACTGGCATACATAAACAAGAAACGGGTACACTGGCTATGGCAGTGCCAAATAACAGCAAATGACTACAGGCAATGACCAGATGAACTCTTTTGGGTAGAAAATAACTCACACAAACATAACATGACAACACATGAAGTGCCAAGGAACAGAATACTGGGTAGCATAACACTCCTTAATCATGGAGTCCGTACTGCGTACAGAAACAGTACAGAAGCCCACTCCAAGAGATATCGAAAATATTTGAAAATCAGCAATGAAATGTTCCACTATCTTTCTAAAAGAGATGATTCATAGATGCCTTACCTCAAGAAGAGAATGTATTTTTGTATCTTGGAAGACGCTTTCAAAGAAGTCTTTCTCCTCCTCTGTACAGTCAGCCAAACACTCGATGTCCTCCAGTGAGTCGAGGACCTGGGACACAGCTGTCAACAGAGTTATTTCCCCTTACAGCCAAGACTTTTTTAATTCATCAATAGCAAAATATATTAATTGGAAAGTGACTTGGACTTTTTTCAGGTGCAAAAGAATGCGGTTCCTTTTAGTTGTAATCAATTGGTTTTCTACTACAGTTGTAGATGCCATAGAGACACAACTCTGAACAAAGACTCACAGAGCTTCGGACACCCACCTGTGCCTCACCTGAATATCTACTTCCTTGTTCGACCACATCTCATTACGAGTATGGTTACTTGAGCTGTAACGATTCATCGAACTATCGATGCATTGGAATTGTTGAGTCTCCGATAACAATTAATTGATGGTAGAAACGAAAAACAATTGATGCATCCATAGTATGTGTGACTATCCATAGTTTAGCAATTAACTTCCATTGATAAATGCCTAGAGCAAAATACAGGAAGGTTTGGTTGCAGACTTGCAGCTTCATTGAGTTTATATTTTAACTGTTTACTTGATCTGGGTTTCACGTGTCTTGTCAGTTTTTAAAAGAGATTGAAACTACTTGTTCTTATTTATAAACTATGCACTCATTTGGGAAATGACTTCAAATGAGACAATTAAAGGAGAAAAAGACTATTGCAATAGTTGGTCGCAATAGTAGGTTGCAACAGACTATCGCTATTGCAAACTGTTGTTGGCCCCTCAATAGTCACCCCTAAAGGTTGCCCACGTCATATCAGTGTCAGTAAGTATGAGGCATTCACCTGCAGATGTGACTTCTTCTTCGCTATTTTCTTCTGTGGGAGTTGGATCATTGTAAAAGTTGGTCCACTTCGAACTAGAAACTGCAGCCATGATAGCACCCTGCCAACAAACCAGAATGTCAACTCTTGACAATCCACAAATAATGTTTAAACATAATGTTTAAATGACATATTTATAATTTTATTATTACATGATGCCACACTGTACATGTCCTGGTATGGGTCTGAATATCAGGTGAAAACCAGCATGAAACACCCAAACACACACTGAAACACTCATAAAATACCCAACAGATGGCACAGGTACACACTGATTACCGATATGTAATAGCTTGAAACACTCATAAAATACCCAACAGATGGCACAGGTACACACTGATTACCAATATGTAATAGCATGAAACACCCATAAAATACCCAACAGATGGCACAGGTACACACTGATTACCAATATGCAATAGCTTGAAACACTCATAAAATACCCAACAGATGGCACAGGTACACACTGATTACCAATATGCAATAGCTTGAAACACTCATAAAATACCCAACAGATGGCACAGGTACACACTGATTACTAATATGTAATAGCTTGAAACACTCATAAAATACCCTACATATGGCACAGGTACACACTGATTACCAATATGTAATAGCATGAAACACTCATAAAATACCCAACAGATGGCACAGGTACACACTGATTACCAATATGTAATAGCTTGAAACACTCATAAAATACCCAACAGATGGCACAGGTACACACTGATTACCAATATGTAATGGCTTGAAACACTCATAAAATACCCAACAGATGGCACAGGTACACACTGATTACCAATATGTAATTGCTTGAAACACTCATAAAATACCCAACAGATGGCACAGGTACACACTGATTACCAATATATGAAACACTCAATACCCAACAGATGCAGGTACACACTGAAACACTCATAAAATACCCAACAGATGGCACAGGTACACACTGATTACCAATATGTAATGGCTTGAAACACCCATAAAATACCCAACAGATGGCACAGGTACACACTGATTACCAATATGTAATAGCTTGAAACACCCATAAAATACCCAACAGATGGCACAGGTACACACTGATTACTAATATGTAATAGTTTGAAACACCCATAAAATACCCAACAGATGGCACAGGTACACACTGATTACTAATATGTAATAGCTTGAAACACTCATTAAATACCCAACAGATGGCACAGGTACACACTGATTACCAATATGTAATAGCTTGAAACTCTCATAAAATACCCAACAGATGGCACAGGTACACACTGACTACCAATATGTCATAGCTTGAAACACCCAGATATGTCACCTTTAATTTTCTTCTTGCGTTGAACTTTTTTAATGCTTCCACTGTTTCATGCAGGTGAACTTTTGGTGTTATTTTCTTATCCTGAAACAAAGATACAGATAAAATAGAATGGGGTACACATGAGGTACACATAGGCAACTCACATGGTACATGCGAGGTAAACACAGGGTACAAGTGAGACACACATTGGGTACACACAAGGAATACACCAGGTTTATATAAGAGCACAAGGTGGACAGGGGTTTATCTCTCAGAGGCTGACAATCAGCACCAAGTCACGTAAATACAACCACTATAGCTGACAACAAGCCTGGTAACATGCTCGTTCACTTTATAGTCCGTTTGGCTCAAAAGCGGACCTAATTGCAGTCTAACTCGAAAACTAATAAACATAAAATACTCAATGAAACTCTGATCATAATCAAAACCTCAGACCAACTCTGTGAGGTTTTTGCAGAATTTATGTCCTAAAAATAAAAAAGTTGTTTAACAAACTATCATTAAAATATCGACACAGTTCACTATTTGTTACGAGGGCGGAGTGCAGAGAAAGGAACAGCCAGGTGTGAGAGAACGGATGGAGACGGCACAGCACAGGTTAATGAATAAATAACGCTGTCGGCACTTGCTTCTCTAACAACTGGCTGTCCCTTTCCCTGCACTCCTCCCTCGTAACAAATAGTGAACTGTGTCAAACTTTTAATGATAGTGACACTATGCAGTGTTGTAGTGCAACACAAGCCAGTAACAACAGAAAACAGTCCGCCATTTGTGAGTGAAAGTTTTGAAGCCAATATTAGGTTATTTCCACTCAGCATGCAACAGATAATTCATGAAGTTTATTGCTTTAAAGGAAAATGTCAATATTCCCTATAAACTGTTCAGGATATTGATAATCTCATCTAACAAAATTCAACAAAATACCACTAACATCCAAAAAAACAAACCATATTCATTAAAATTCATCATAAGGTTTTCAGTTTTAAGATATGGAAGATGCATTTTGCAAAATGGTGAAGCATTAAAACTGTTTCTTAAGAACTTGGAGATTGTATGGAAAAATGATGAAGTACATTGTTTCTTGGAAATAACATGTGGTGAGTGAGTGAGTGAGTGAGTGAGTGAGAAGTATCAGATTCTTCATTTGTTTCAACATTAACAGGGAAAAAAATTCCTAACACTTGAGACTTTGAAATGCCAGTTTGAAACACAACCTGAACGATAACTGGTGTAAGGGAGATAACTCTTACCTTTATCCAGGGATGTTCCAAGGCATCGTCAATGGTGATTCTCTTCTCTGGGTCAAGATGTAACAGCTGTGTAACTAAATCTTTGCCTCCTTCCGATATACAGCTCCATTGTTTGGGTCTCATCTGTAACCATAGCAACATGATAAACATTGAGAACTTAATCAAAACACACAATGTTCTTAATGTCATAACATGAGTGAGTGAGTTGAGTTTTATGCTGCTTTTAGCAATGTTCCAGCAAAATCACGGCGAGGGACACCAGAAATGGGCTTTACACATTGTACCCATGTGGGGAATCGTACCCGGGATTTAGGCGTGACGAGCGAACGCTTTAAGATATACTGAAGCATAGAACGAGCCAAATTCATGCTTGGAACTAGACTGTCTTGGATGAACTGTACAACTGATCTTGACCACCAGTGATGTGAAATATATTCATTTCTTTTAGACATTTCTGGCATTTTGCCCAAAGTTATGTCTCTGATTTTTATTGATAATCAATTGGTATTTAGTTTACGATTATTGATCTCTAACAGCTATGTCATTAGCCAGGGCTAGTGGATTGTAAATTTAATCCAGACAAATGTAAACGATCCCACAATCAGGAGCCAAACACATGTATAAACCAAGTTACCAAACCTGACCACCTAGACTGAATCAGTTTTGAGCGACATACTCCCAGAATGGACAGAATGTGAGTTCACAGAAAAATAACCTGAACATCTCAACCACTTGGCTACCTAAATGTGCTCAAATCAATGGTATTGCCTGATCGTTGAGTTTAGCTCTGTTCAATTAAGAAAATGCAAGCATTATTTTCGCTCCGTTGAGCAGTCTGAAATATGAAGACAGGGCCAGTCTACCAGCACTGATCAGACACTGAACCATGATGTGAGCACCTTCTGGTCAGAGAGTGTGCGTGAGTGAGAGAGTGAGAGTGAGAATGAGAGAGTGAGAGTGAGTGAGATGAGTGAGGTGAGAGAGAATTACTTGAGAGAAGAAGAGAGAATGTGAGTGTGATGGTGGTGGTCCAATTAATTGAAATAATCAAAGATTGGTCGCAATGGCTAAACAACCAAGCAATCAATCATGTTTTCTCATAATCGAACACAAACAATTTTGGAACACTTGTTTGCAATAACAATCTTTTCACATGGCTGGTTTTGCCTGTTACATTTCATAAGCACTACAAGCTCGTTCCATGTCATGATTGAAACTATCTTTAAGACTCCTAGAAATTTATGTTCCTGACATACTAATCATCCTTTAAAGATGCATTTTGTGCAATTTGAAAAAACCCCTGAAAGAACTACATGATTTTTCTTTATTTTTTGTGCATCAACAAACAGAACAAGGAAAATTTGATAAAAGACGCTAACCATTTATTTTCGATGATTGAACGGTTGTAATGAACCAATCATCAATTATGATATATTAACCAATTCCCAACACTAGAGTGTGCTAGTGTGTGCTAGTGTGTGTGTCTGTGTGTTGGTTATTGTATTGCTCTAAACTATGGATGGATTTACACTTGTACATAACTGGATAACTGTTTCACATCTATGTATAACACAGTTTACTGATGTCACATCTATGTATAACACAGTTTACTGATGTCACATCTATGTATAACACAGTTTACTAATGTCACATCTATGTATAACACAGTTTACTAATGTCACATTTATGTATAACACAGTTTCACATTTATGTATAACACAGTTTACTGATGTCACCTGAGGTATTTCCACACATGAATATTGTTATTCACAAAAGAAATGAACTGATAAAATGTTGGTTACACTGGTCAGTGCACTTTCCAGTACATTCCCTCTTCTAAACTGAACTTAGATTTATATCAAGTTGTTAATTCCATTTTGCCTGGTTATACAAACTCCAGACCATCCCCTCAGCTGACCGCCAGGCATGGAAACAACATGTACCATCCTTTAATTGTATCAAGTGGTTGGGGATTCTACCCCGACTTTCGCTTCTTCAAGCAGACACTCTATCCATTAGACCACAGAGGCAGTCACTGAGCTGCTCAAAGTGGAGATATTCACAATGATCACCCTACTGGTGTTCTCACAAATTATACCACTAAATCTGGGAATGAGGCTGAAGCAGGAATGCATGACAGCTTTTCGTTTTGTCACCAAAAAGGTTTTGTTTTTTGTTTTGTATGATGTTTAACGCCACACTCAGCAATATTACAGCATAATGGTGGCAGTCTGTAAATAATCAAGTCGGGACCAGACAATCCAGTGATCAGCATAATGAGCATCAATCTAAGTAATTGGGATACCATGACCCATGACAGCCAAGTCAGTGAACCTGACCATCCGATCCTGTTCGTTGCCTCTTAGCATGGGTTGCCGAAAACCTGAAATGATCTCCCAAAATTGGTCTAACCAAAAATGGTTCAGGAAGACATCAAACAGATTAACTTTAAAAATCAGAAAAAAATGTTTAAGTCCAAGTTTCCATCACATTCTACTTACATGATAGCTGCCTTTGAGTATAAGATCAAAAAGCCTCTCTTTGGACCCACAGAAAGGGGGATAACCACCGAGAAGGATGAATAACATGACGCCAGCCCCCCACATGTCCACTGGCTTCCCGTAGAGTTCCCGCTTGACCACCTCCGGTGCCATGTACTGGGGCGTACCCACTCGCCCTACAGACAGAAACATATTCAATCTGTAGTCACTTTCAGAAAAACAAAACTTTGTTATTTTTACCTGAGGCCAGACCAATTTTATTTCTTGTTTTACGGACCCGCCGGTTGTATTTTTTCAAGAATAAGAAAAAATAATAATTAATTTTCCCGCTCAAAAAATAAAATCTTAATGTTTTTATTGGCCCAAAATGTAAACTTACAAGAATTTGTTTTTTAGATTGTTTTTCCCCCCATATACACTTCATAAATTGCCAAAAGTAAAATACTTTTAGCATTTAGAAGGAATATTACTTTGACTGGTGATTATATTTTATTTTTTTTCCCTCCTGCCTTTACGTTTTTCAGGACAAAAATCTGTAAAACAAGAAATAAAATTGGTCTGGCCTGAATATCAATTATCATGAAACAAACAGAAAAAAATATGATATAATGGATTTTAGATCCACTGTGACAAAACACAAAGTCTTGCAATAGAAAAAGATCATAACACAATTGGGAATCATGCAAAACAAAATCTCAGAGTGTGATTTTTTAAAAATATGTTTGAAGCAAAACAAAAATGTGTTAATAGTTTACTAATCTATATATTAATAAAATTAAACAGAGGCAAAAATTATGCAAAATGATAGTTATAGGTGGTTTGTTGGCTGTGATTTCAGAATACTGGCACTTCACATTGGTGAGGTAGTCTTCCTCCTTCAAGTGAGGGGCAGTGGGGTAGCCTAATGGTTCAAGTGCCCAGTTGTCATGAGGAATATCCAGGTTCGATTCCCCACTTGGGTACAACATGTGAAGCCCATTTCTGTTGTCCCCCGCCATGATATTGCTTGAATATTGCTAAAAGCTGCATAAAACCATACTCACTCACTCACTCCACCTAGTGAGGTGCATGAGTGAGTAAACAGACTACACCTAGTGAGGTGCATGAGTGAGTAAACAGACTCCACCCAGTGAGGTGCATGAGTGAGTAAACAGACTCCACCCAGTGAGGTGCATGAGTGAGTAAACAGACTCCACCCAGTGAGGTGCATGAGTGAGTAAACAGACTCCACCCAGTGAGGTGCATGAGTGAGTAAACAGACTCCACCCAGTGAGGTGCATGAGTGAGTAAACAGACTCCACCCAGTGAGGTGCATGAGTGAGTAAACAGACTCCACCCAGTGAGGTGCATGAGTGAGTAAACAGACTCCACCCAGTGAGGTGCATGAGTGAGTAAACAGACTCCACCCAGTGAGGTGCATGAGTGAGTAAACAGACTGCAGTGAGGTGCAGTGAAACAGACTCCACCCAGTGAGGTGCATGAGTGAGTAAACAGACTCCACCCAGTGAGGTGCATGAGCATGAGTGAGTAAACAGACTCCACCCAGTGAGGTGCATGAGTGAGTAAACAGACTCCACCCAGTGAGGTGCATGAGTGAGTAAACAGACTCCACCCAGTGAGGTGCATGAGTGAGTAAACAGACTCCACCCAGTGAGGTGCATGAGTGAGTAAACAGACCATTAAACCTGGAGGGGCGGTGGGGTAGCCTAGTGGTTAAAGCGTTTGCTCATCACGCTGAAGACCCGGGTTCGATTCCCCACATGGGTACAATATGTGAAGCCCATTTCTGGTGTCCCCCGCCGTGATATTGCTAGAATATTGCTGAGTGCGGTGTAAAACGTAACTCACCATTAAACCTGGAGGTTAAGGTCATTCTTTCTCCCAGAGGTTCTGAGGACACATTGTAACATATCACTTTCACTGGAAACACTTTTCCTACCTTGGAATTCCACGGACGACCAACAGGTCTCAAGACCATGTTATGCCTCAAGGTATATCACCAATATTTAATTATATCCTGATACCTTTGCTTTTGATACATGTAAGATGGTTTGACGGACATGGGGATGTGTATAGAAGGCATGTAGTGGAATGTTAGTGGTGGAAATAGATAGATGACTATATAAACTCAGCCATAAATGTTAAAAGAAACTGTTCTTACTAATACAATGAACTTGATCTTCAAATGTTTTTTAAACATATCAATCTATGCCAACATGTTAAAATAAAAAGTATAACTGGATTATAGATCTCTTTAGAATTATCAATAAAACAAATTGCAGCATTTAAAAATGTTATCATGTTCAAAACATCAAGAGATACCAACAAACTCAAAATGATTAGCTAAAACATAATCCTGAATGAGATAAATCAAATTTAAAAATATGTTTAAAGTCACTGAACAGCAATAAAAGGAAAGGCACCAGCTTGTAATAGAATCGACAGTCCATGCAAAATGTCTGTGTATATGGTCTCTGGTACAAGTGAATTAAATCCAGGACATGACAATGTATCTTGTTGGCTACTTTCACACATACAAACCTAGACACTGCATCGACTGGCAGTATAGGAGTAAAACCTACTCACATAAGCACAATGGTGGTTCTTACAATCAAGGATCATAATCAGAACCAGCACTTCCTGGCACGGCTAAGGGAAGCAACTCTGCACTGAATCTTGCAGTGCCAGAAATCCCATTGCCACCTGTGCTGCTGCAGATCAGAAATTTATGAACACAACATCTATCTGTGTTAGTAGTGTGAGAACAAAGGGAGGTTACTCTAGTAGTCTAGTGGCAAAGGAAGCCCTCTTACCCACTACATCATCTCGTAAGTCTAACAGGGGTTCAACATCAACCTCTAACGGAGAGTCTGCAACCACCAACATCAGGGTCAACACATGCACATGCAAAATTCTTGTGGTATAATCGTCAATACAACATTGTTGTGCTATAATAGTCAATACATTGTTGTGGTATGATAGTCAATACAACATTGTTGTGCTGTAATAGTCAATATGACATTGTTGTGCTATAATAGTCAATATAACATTGTTGTGCTATAATAGTCAATACAACATTGTTGTGCTGTAATAGTCAATATAACATTGTTGTGCTGTAATAGCCAATACAACATTGTTGTGCTATATTATTCAATACAACATTGTTGTGCTATAATAGACAATACAACATTGTTGTGGCGTAATAGTCAATACAACATTGCTGTTGTGTAATAGTCTATACAACATTGTTGTGGAATAATAGTTAATGCAACATTGTTGTGCTATAATAGTCAATACAACATTGCTGTGGTGTAATAGTCAATACAACATTGTTATGGTGTAATAGTCAATACAACATTGTTGTGCTGTAATTATAAGTCAATACAACATTGTTGTGGTATAATAGTCAATACAAATGTTCAACACATTGTTGTGCTATAGCATTCAATAAAACATTTGTTGTGCTGTGATATTCAATACAACATAACAAATAATTCAAGGTATTATGTTCATTACATTGTTGTGTTTTAATATCTAATGCATTCCTGTGTTGTTATATTCAATACATTGCTAAACTGTTATGCTATAATGTTCAATACAATGTTATGCTATTTATTCAATACAACATAACTAACTTCTTGTGCTATAATGTCCAATCAATTGTTGTACTATGATATTCAATACAGCTTTTATTCATTGCTGCACTGTGGTATTCAATATATCATTGGTAGATTGCTGTGTTATAATGTTGAATACAAACACTTCCACATTGTTAAATAATAGTATCAATACATCTTATAGTCAATACCTTGTATAGTCAATACCTTGTATAGTCAATACCACAAAATCCACACATTGTAATGCTATTGTAGTAAATACATATTGTGCTGTTATTTTTTATGAATCACTGCCACATTGTGTCATAATAGTTAATACATCACTACCACATTGTGTTATTATAGTTAATACATCACTGCCACATTGTGCTATCATAGTTAATACATCACTGCCACATTATGCTATTATAGTTAATACATCACTGCCACATTGTGCTATTATAGTTAATACATCACTGCCACATTGTGTGCTATCATAGTTAATACATCACCGCCACATTGCTATTGCTATCATAGTTAATACATCACTGCCACATTGTGCTATTATAGTTAATACATCACTGCCACATTGTGCTATTATAGTTAATACATCACTGCCACATTGTGTGCTATCATAGTTAATACATCACTGCCACATTATGCTATTATAGTTAATACATCACTGCCACATTATGCTATTATAGTTAATACATCACTGCCACATTGTGCTATCATAGTTAATACATCACTGCCACATTGTGCTATCATAGTTAATACATCACTGCCACATTATGCTATTATAGTTAATACATCACTGCCACATTGTGCTATTATAGTTAATACATCACTGCCACATTGTGCTATTATATTATAGTTAATAGTTAATCACTGCCACATTTGTGCTATTATAGTTAATACATCACTGCCACATTGTGCTATCATAGTTAATACATCACTGCCACATTTGTGCTATCATAGTTAATACATCACTGCCACATTATGCTATTATATTACATCACTGCCACATTAATACATATAGTTAATACATCATTTGTGCTATTATAGTTAATACATCACTGCCACATTGTGCTATTATAGTTAATACATCACTGCCACATTATGCTATTATAGTTAATACATCACTGCCACATTGTGCTACATAGTTAATACATCACTGCCACATTGTGCTATTATAGTTAATACATCACTGCCACATTGTGCTATCATAGTTAATACATGTGCCACATTATAGCTATCATAGTTAATACACTGCCACATTGTGCTATTATAGTTAATACATCACTGCCACATTGTGCTATCATAGTTAATACATCACTGCCACATCTATTATAGTTAATACATCACTGCCACATTGTGCTATTATAGTTAATACATCACTGCCACATTGTGCTATCATAGTTAATACATCACTGCCACATTGTTGCTATTATAGTTAATACATCACTAGTTACATCATTGCCACATTATGCTATCATAGTTAATACATCACTGCCACATTGTGCTATTATAGTTAATACATCACTGCCACAGTTAATTGTGCTATCATAGTTAATACATCACTGCCACATTGTGCTATTATAGTTAATACATCACTGCCACATTGTGCTATTATAGTTAATACATCACTGCCACATTGTGTGCTATCATAGTTAATACATCACTGCCACATTGTGCTATCATAGTTAATACATCACTGCCACATTTCATAGTTAATATATCACTGCCACATTGTGCTATTATAGTTAATACATCACTGCCACATTGTGCTATCATAGTTAATACATCACTGCCACATTGTGCTATCATAGTTAATACATCACTGCCACATTGTGCTATCATAGTTAATACATCACTGCCACATTGTGCTATCATAGTTAATACATCACTGCCACATTGTGTGCTATCATAGTTAATACATCACTGCCACATTGTGCTATCATAGTTAATACATAGCCACATTAATACATAGTTAATACTGCCTGCCACATTGTGCTATCATAGTTAATACATCACTGCCACATTGTGCTATCATAGTTAATACATCACTGCCACATTGTGCTATCATAGTTAATACATCACTGCCACATTGTGCTATCATAGTTAATACATCACTGCCACATTGTGCTATCATAGTTAATACATCACTGCCACATTGTGCTATTATAGTTAATACATCACTGCCACATTGTGCTATCATAGTTAATACATCACTGCCACGTTGTGCTATTATAGTTAATACATCACTGCCACATTGTGATATCATAGTTAATACATCACTGCCACGTTGTGCTATTATAGTTAATACATCACTGCCACATTGTGCTTTTATAATAAATGCTGTTACAACACTAGTTAAAGTGAGTGAATGAGTGAGTTTAGTTTTACGCCACACTCAGCAATTTTCCAGCTATATGGCGGCAATCTGTAAATAATCGAGTCTGGACCAGACAATCCAGTGATCAACTGCATGAGCATCGATCTGCACAATTGGGAACCGATGCCATGTGTCAACCAAGCCAGCGAGCCTGACCACCTGATCCCGATGAGCTTGGGTTACTGAAGGTACATTCTAACCCGGACCTTCACGGGTCACTAGTTAAAGATATGTTTACACTTGAATTTATTTTTTTGTAATAACTACCACCAAACTTCATGATCATAGTCAAATCTTATTTTTAAAGAATTGGAATGCTTTTTAAAAAAGCTGGTTGGTATTTTCCATAAGAATTGCAACAAGTTTGAAAGTTGCTGGTAGAATGGTTCAAACACAGTGACAACTTGTCCCTCAAAAACATGATCCTCAGTACACTTTATCCATTTTGGTGGCATGAACTGGAATGGTTCCATGCGGCATGACAGTCTGTACAATCACATCACACACACAATAATATCAGTAAAGCCATAATTATGAGGATATAACATAACAGATTTTGTTTAAATATCCAACCTTGCAACACTGCAAGAGACTTCACTTTTTTCACGAGAAACTCTTCCCCTTGATCATACTTGTCTCTCTTCTCTCGTGTAATAATCACCATCGTGAGTATTGATTTTTTTTAAATCCGCTGGGAAGAAATACTGTTACAGTGGACATAATGAAGCTTGATTGTTCAGTGACCGAGTGTACACCGATATCAAATCGTACCCAACATTATGAAAGCCGACATTTTCTACTTTTCATTGTAAGGAATATTCCTCCTCTGATTCATACCATACGACAACTAGGAACTTAATAAAACCGGAATATCAATTCCATTCTATTTCCAATTGTGTTATCTCAGGTACATAGTTATGAACTGAATCCAATTGCCAAGAATTGCCCATAGGATTGTTTGTCATTATGAAATAGAAGCTTCAAACTGTATACAACTGCCCACAGGTATGTTTCTAATTATGAAATAGAAGCTTCAAACTGCTCACAACTGCCCAAAATTTTGTTTCTAATTATGAAATAGAAGCTTCACTAATGTTATCCTAAGTCAAATCACCGTTAATAACAAGTTAAGTGTGTGATATCAGTAAGCTGCAGAGATCAATGATACAAATTTGGAAACTTTCAATTGTTAATCAAACAACAGGACTCAATAAACAAACATATAGCCTCTGAAATGAACTTATTTTACAGAAAACAAGTAATGAACATATGTTTAAAAAAAGGTCTTAAATTCTCTTGATATAGAAACAAGAGCTGGTATTTTCCTGATCTTCAGTAGTCTTAACCCGTCATATATTAGAATTGCATGGGTTTTCCTGCATTTAGTTCTTCAGAGTCTGAAGAGAATTTAACTGAATGTCTTGGTGTTAACAGGATGCTTAGATTATATGTACACGGATCATGAGGTCACATGAGGTCACATGAGGTCACATCGGTTGTGGGTCCTGTTCAGATTGAAATGTAACACAACGTTCAGGGGAATCTCCAGGTAAACCGAACCAGAGATTCACGCTTAACAACCTTCATGCAAATACAATACGAATATGATCATGCATATTGATCTGGGAATTTTTATGAAAACTAAGACGATTCTATGATACACTATATGAGGGAGGTGTGCTTGTGTTTATATATATTCAGCATTATCATTGTCTTCGGTTAATGTTCAAGTTAGCAGCTGCGGAGGTTATTATTACTGACTACCCATCAAAAGTTCAGACTCACTTAAAACACTCACTATATGTTACGTATATGTATGGTTACATCGAAGGTGAATTTCTCCACTAACTTGGGGGAACCACCAGCAAACTTTATGCAGATGAATTGCACGAGGATCAGGCATCAAATTGCTAAAAAGCATGAGCAAATATCGTTCATGTGAACAGCTATGTATTGGTGTAAAGTTTTGTTCAGAATTCGCCAATTTTCACATCATTTACTGAACTCATGACAATAATCTTTTCAATGTTAATTTGTTATACAATACATCTGTTCATGTGTAAACAGTACCTTTAAACTGAATGGAATATTTTGCAAAAACAAGTTTAGAACAGTTGACTGAAGTAAGTGGCTACATTTACACTAGTGAGTCTAAACTTTTGATGGGTAATATATATGTAACAGATGACTTCGATATAATTCTGCTTTTAAGGAGATATACACCTAGAATCTAGTGTTCATATTGTCTTTTTATTCAACATTCACCTAATTTCATTTACAAAGTCATCAGAACATGCATTTTACTGTAATCTTGACCATTTCTACTGTCATGTGTAAATAATGATACTTCATAGTCTCAAGAGCAAACAAAGAAATAAACAGTTATCTCCCTTGTATCCAGAACAATGATACAGAGTTGTGTCCCTTACCTCCAGAAACTTTGCCATCTTTAGGAAGTTGCATAGCGACCCCGAATCCACCAAGTTTGACAGGTGCTGAATTTTCTTTGGAAGCAAGCAGGACACAATGAGGTTTGAGGTCTCGATGTATGATCTGGTTGGCATGGCAATATCTCAGCGCCTCCAGGATCTGCCGCATGTAATGACTGCAAGAGGAAAACGAGGTCATCCATTGTAAATACATCTACACATTTGCTATGCAATAACTGACAAATACAGAGTGCAATATTTAAGTTATGGCAAGTCAGCTGAATGTGTGAGCAAAGACAGAGGTGATACATGTGAAACAAGTGAGTGAGTGAGTGAGTGAGTGAGTGAGTGAGTGAGTGAGTGAGTGAGTGAGTGAGAGTATATTTTAGTTTCATGTCACGTTCAGTACTATTCCTGCAATATCACAGCAGGTGACACAAATGAGCATGGTCTTCACAGTGGCAAATTAGTGTCTGGAAAGTACCTTCTTTTAATGCATTTAATGTCCTTTAATTTATTATTGACCAACTAATCAGATCTGCTATCTGTGTCGACATCCCCAACATTGTCTGCCTGCTTGAAACACAAGAGCTTAACTCCATCAGCTTTTAAGGCACTATCAAAGAATTCTCTCCAAGCAGATCACAAAGAAACTGAAAAACACCACATTAACTTTTTACGCGTTTAGTATGCAATGAATATCCATGATCTGTCCATTATTAGCCCAGATCAAACTGCACCACAGAAAGGAAAAGCAGGTCATTTGGGGTTTTGTACCAGGCCAGTGTGGATTTGCCAGGTCAGCAGGATTCCTGTGTGAAATATTTACAGCATACTGCAGGCATAAAATATTGTCATTTACTGAATATTGCACACATAGAATACTGGCAGTTACTGCATACTCAGACCTAAAATGCTGCATTTATTGCATAGTGCCAACATAGAATACTGTAATTAATTGTATACTGCAGACCTTAAATACTGTCATTTATTGCACTCTGCAGACCTTAAATACCGTCATTTATTGCACTCTGCAGACCTTAAATACCGTCATTTATTGCACTCTGCAGACCTTATATACTGTCATTCTTTGCATACAGCAGACATAAAATATAGCCATTTTCTCCATACAGCAGACATAAAATATAGCCATTTACTCCATACAGCAGACATAAAATATAGCCATTACTCCATACAGCAGACATAAAATATAGCCATTTACCCCATACAGCAGACATAAAATATAGCCATTTACTCCATACAGCAGACATAAAATATAGCCATTTATTCCATACAGCAGACATAAAATATAGCCATTTACTCCATACAGCAGACATAAAATATAGCCATTTACTCCATACAGCAGACATAAAATATAGCCATTTACCCCATACAGCAGACATAAAATATAGCCATTTACTCCATACAGCAGACATAAAATATAGCAATTTACCCCATACAGCAGACATAAAAGACATAAAATATAGCCATTTACTCCATACAGCAGACACAAAATATAGCCATTTACTCCATACAGCAGACATAAAATATAGCCATTTCCCCGATACAGCAGACATACAATATAGCCATTTACTCCATACAGCAGACACAAATCAATGTCATTCACTGCTTACTTCAGACATAGAATACTGTTATATATTGCATAGCGCAGACAAAATATGCTGCCTTTTGTTGCATACTGAAGACATAAAACACTCTTATTTATTGCATACTGCAGACATCAAATATTGTCATTTACTGCATGCTGCTAATATTGTCATTATTCACATAGGAGAGAGATTTCCTCATTTACATGTGATGACAAGTCCCAAGTATTTTTTACTGCTTGTACTGAGCTGGACTGGTTGGTCACCTGTGTATCCTGTGTAAGTCGTTAAACCCCAACAACAACCCCAACCTCAACTCCATTCGGTCAATCACTGATTTGTCTGGCCCAATATCCAGGTTGGGGTGATACAAATATATATTGATGACCGTGGTACATTCACAGACTGCAACCAATGAAGGTCCGGGTTAGAATTGATCTTCAGGAACCCATGCTTGTTGTAAGAGGCGGCTAACAGGATTGGGTGGTCAGGCTCGCTGACTTGGTGGACACATCATCATATCCCAATTGTGTAGATTGATGCTAATGGTGTTGATCACGGGATTGTCTAGTCCAAACTCGATTATATACAGACCACCGCCATATAGCTGGAAACCAAACCAAACCAAACCAAAACCAAACCCAAATCACAGACTGCACACCTATCCACAACTAAGGAATCAGTATCGCCCAGTGTGGAGAGCCCTGGTGTGTACAGACAAGGTTGCTGAGGACCCTCAAACTCCACCACCATGTCATCTAACTGTATCAGGCTGTCTCACAGAAGGATCAAGTCTAACCCACCCCCACGGAGTGAACACAATCAAAGTTTTCTGATAAAAGCGAACAGTTAGATCCTCAGTGCTGTACAATCGTTTGACCAGTCTGTTTATATTTCACAAGTCAGACATACAGGCAAAACGTGAGGGAGCATATTCTTGAAGTTGGTGTAGGACATTCCAGGGCATTTCTAAATCTCGGCTCCATGTTCTTCCTTGACGCAATCAAGATATATATTCTGCTTCGTAGCACTTATTGGGCAATGCAGTGCCACTCAACATTCTTTCTATAATATTTCACAAGGGTCAAAGCGGAACTACGTTTTTCCATCAGAACACCCAATCATGGATCCCACACTGATAGGTCACTTGGCTGACTCCCAAACACCATCTGACAGTGCATCCATCGATCACTTGATCATCTGGGTTCCTGACAGGCTCCCATACACCAGGCCATGTTTACCTGTTTTACTGACACCTGGTGTCGGTACTGATTTTCATTGATTCATTCATGATTTTCATCCTTCTTAGCCTTCATGCCTAAAGGAAACTGAATGGTAGATAAGTAGATGGTTATTCTCTGACACGAACAGTTTGTACACGAAACTGTGGACCACTGGACCGTTCATCAAGCTGACATGGTTGAAATATTTCTGACTGCAGCATTAAACATCATTCATTCACTCACTCCATTTCATGAACATATTTATCAGAAACTCATCCCAAATAAATTCCAGAGCATTATTCCAGTTTTCAATGACCTCCCACACTCCAGGTTCACAACTAGCATCCAATATTTTAAAAGAAATGTTGGATAACTGATGGGTAAATCTGTTGGACTGATTGGTATAGCTGTTGAATAACTGATTGGTAAATCTGTTGAATAACTACTTGGTATAGCTGTTGGATAACAGATTTGTATAGCTGTTGGATAACTGATTGGTATAGCTGTTGGATAACTGATTGGTATAACTGTTGGATAACTGATTGGTATAGCTGTTGGATAACTGATTGGTATCGCTATTGGATAACTGATTGGTAAAGTTGTTGGATAACACTGACTGACTGACTGAGTTTAGTTTTACGCCGCTTTTAGCAATATTCCAGCAATATCACGGCGGGGGACTGTTGGATAACAGATTGGTATAGCTGATTAGTATAGCTGTTGGGTAACGGATAGGTATAGGTGTTGGATAACTCATTGGTATAGTTGTTGGATAACAGATTTGTATAGCTGTTGGATAACTGATTGGTAAAGTTGTTGGATAACAGATTGGTATAGCTGTTTAATAACTGATTGGTGAATATGTTGGATAACTGATTGGTATAGCTGTTGAATAACTGATTAGTATAGCTGTTGGATAATGATTGGTATAACTGGTATAACTCAAGGTCTACAACTGCACATCTGGCAACATTTCACCCATTAGATATAAGCAATGTTAGATGATTTGGATTAACTATAGGTCCTGCCACAACAGGGTTCGTCAGACAAGCAGCTTCTACTGAAGGTATTCAGTCACATCCACTGATTTATGTCGTCCATCCCAACTCGCCCTAATTGATATCAATACCCTCTTCACAATCAGCGGCACACAGCGACATTAACGGCCATAGTCAATGAGAGGGGAAGACAAGACTTCAATTTCCGACAACTCATTACTTCTATGAAGGCAATTTGTTCTTGCAGTCTGGAGAACAAAGCTTCATCATCACACCTATACACACGGACACACATCACACGCACGGCATGAGTGGGGGGAGTTGCGCTTGTGTCGGCAATACCACAGGATGTCGGTAGAAGGGAGAACATCGGACACACTTGTGGGTGGGTGGGTGAGTGAGTGAGTGAGTGAGTGAGTGAAGGAGCATGAGTGGGCTGGTTGGTGAATGAGTCAGGAGTGAGCCAGGAGTGAGTGAGTGGGTGGGTAAACGCAATATTCAAGCAACATCGTGGTATATTGTATGAATTGTATACATTGCATCTATAATGTACTTTAGGCCTGTGGCCTTCTTAATATTCACTCATTCAGTCACTCATCGTGTATCATTGAAACATGAAAACATCTGTTCACAGTGTGAATACTGTATTATCACTGGTTTGGTAGGACAAGACTCATTGTTAAAGGCTGTCGGCACTTGGCTGGAACATACCTGACTGTGGCGCAAAACAACACTTAGTTCTTTTTGGGGGCACAGTCTCCTGGTCACCAAAAACATCAAACCCACGACTTAATCTCTTGCTTGAATAAAAACTATCAAAGCGTGTTGAATGTCTGTAAACATCATTTCTGAAGCGAGACAACTACTTTTATCTTTGTTCACGGCATTTCCGTTTCTTCAAATTGCTCTTTGTTTGGCAATTTTCTTTCTGTTTGACCAAAAGTCTACAACATTAAAAAAGCCATATTTCTGTTTGATAAGTGGGTTCTGTTGCCATTTAATGTTCAGACTCTTAGTTTCACAGTTTGTAAGCGTCTCTCTTGTGTCAGGTTGTTAGGAAGACAGTATTAGTTGCGCACGTCATCAGGGTAAAAATGGCTTTCCCTCTGCAATGTTGTAACGCGAGGTTCAGCATGTCTGTCTCTCGTTAAACATCACTAACATTACTCCAGATGGGCTTGTGTTTCAAATGTAATTCTTTCGGGCAAATAAAGAGAACATGCTAATTAATCATCGCTGAAACACAGTTCTCATAGCAATGTCGTAGCTTAAGTAAATTTTGTTTCGTTAAAGCCACACTTGGCAGTATCAGCTGTAAATATTTGAGTGAAGACGAGAAAATCCAGGGATGGACTTAAGCATAGATATGCGCTCAGTTCTCAAAACAAAGTTGTTGATGGCTGAAGTAAATTTTGTTTGTACAAAGCCCCACTTGGCAATATTCAGCTATAATATGTCCATCTATAAATATTTGTAAAACACAAAATATTACGGATGTCAACTTCTTTATTCTATACACAATGTTTCTGGGCTTTTCCTTGCCCCTTGGTCAGGTGACTCTGCCTTCATGTACATTACTAGTATATATATCCTGTATACCTGTTAGTTACCAGTCACCTGACCAAGGGGCAAGGAAAAGCCCAGAAACGTTGTGTATAGAATAAAGAAGTTGACATCCGTAATATTTTGTGTTTTACAAATATTTATAGATGGACAAAGTGATTCCGACCAGCGTTAGTTATCCTCGACCAAACAACCATTAAATCTAAATTAGGACCTGCAAACTTCTTTGAACAAAACAGACAGTATGAAAGTGTGACTTATTCTAGGTACACGAGTCCTCGCAAAGTGACTTCAGATGGCTCATGTCTCAGCTAATTTTAAAAGCAATTTTCGTTCCAGGAATCTGTTAAATGTATATAAAATCATCCTGTATTAATAAAACCTGAGGCTGAGACACAAAAAACATTTTACAACTTCATCAAGGCAATATTTCTTGCTTCATAAAATATGAATTGTCTGCAATGTCCGCTTCAAATTCCAAAGGTAAACGATATGAAGCTCAGAGACTATAGCAGTTCTATGAAGCTATGTGAGCTAACACACTCTAAGGACAAACATATCTAGATACAGCTGTACAAATACTGCAAATATGAGCTAATCAGTGGGAGTTCATAAAGAAGTTGACAAGGAGAAGACATAAAGTTCTGTGGCATGATTATGTGGTAACTCGACATTATAAGTCTATATTCAGCTCAGGCCATAACAGTTACAGAATGAATTAAACATTATTGAAAGAGGCACATGGATGGTCATAAGACAGTTTTAATAATGGATTGCAGCATATTAAATAGTGGATTGTAGCATAATGAATAATGGTATCCAGAATTTGTGTAAAAAACATTATTTACTACAGAAAAGATTACTTAAATATTAATTCCTTTCACAAAACTCACCAATTAACTCATTTATCTGTGACATTCATTCATTCACACTTTTGTTCTGGAAAAGTTGTTTATTACCATTTGTGCAAAAATTGCTATTTGAAATAACATACTTTGAAATATATATTTAGATATTATTTTAAGAAAAATATTTTGCAACTTATTTTTGCCAGGGACTAGAATAAACTATGTCATCATTACAAAACACATGCTCATCTGACTTGTTCTCAAAACAAAGGCTGAGAAACAAGAAGTGACAGATCCAATATGGCTGCCATGGGCAGACATTGTCAAAAGTTGAGTTGGGGTTTAGAGAGTTGGGCAATAAAAAAAATCTGCATCGTAGGCTTTGTGGATTCAGAAACTGTTGAAAATGTTAAAGTCTACAATGGAGAGACAGGTGTAACAATGTAACAATGACAATATAACAATGTAACAATGACAATGTAACAATGTAACAATGACAATGTAACAGTGACAACAACACCAGGTGACTTAGACCTACAGTTCTGGTGAGCCACAGCTGTTCCTGGTGAGTCAATACCACAGGATGTCGGTAGAAGGGAGAACATCAGACACACTTGTGGGTGGGTGAGTGGGTGAGTGACTGGGTGAGTGGGTGAGTGATTGGGTGGGTGGGCGAGTGGGTGAGTGAGTGGGTGAGTGATTGGGTGAGTGAGTGCGTGTGAGTGAGTGAGTGAGTGAGTGAGCGAACTACTCCACCGTCCCAGTTCCAGTCTCATACTACATTACTGCACAGATCATGATTTTGTTTGTTAGTTTGTAGTTTAACCCCACATTCAGCAATATTCCAGCTATATGGCTTCAGTCTGTAAATAATCGAGTCTGGACCAGACAATCCAATGATCGACATCATGAGCATCGATCTACGCAATTGGGATATGATGGCATGTGTCAAGCAAGTCAGCGACCCTGACCACCCAATCCCGTTTGTCGCCACTTTCGACAAGCATGGTTGCTGAAGATCACTTCTAACCCGGATCTTCACGGGTTTACAGATCATGACCAAAACAGGCTGGAGTCACAAGGTCTCCCCAACACAGAGAGATGAAATAATAGATACAAACACATTTATAACAAAAACATTCTTCAGACTCGCAGCCAGCATTTGGAGTCACTTTTACTTTAAGCGGTTTATTGTATTAAAATTAAATAAGAAATCCTATCCACATATGCCGACAACTATGGTATCATGATTCACATTAAAGTATGAATTTACGTTGTCTTTTTCTTAAAATATTTTGTCATATGAAACATAATATTCTCCCACAATAGAAGTGAAATCATTTTGTTTAATGTTGCCACATTGTTTTCAACTAACAATAATGATGTTATGCCGCCACTAGTGCTATAGATCATCTGGACCTACCTGGCGACTGCTTCGCTGTAAACAAATCCTGCCGATGCTCGTTTAACGACTTCGAAACAAAGATCAGCACCATCCATACTGAAACAAGAAATTCAAAACTTAATATCACGTTTCAACATCATCAGCATTCTGAGAACAATGGGGTCCTGTTGCTCTCTAAGCACTTCATACAAGTTGATGGCAGCAAAATCAATGTATCAATATTTTCTCCTTTTATTCCAGGGGTGTGTCACAAGATAGCACCATATTTACTGTTACAAAGCTCAAATCACTCCGATAATAATCCTTAAAGGGAGACAAAGCTTGGTTTATTTGACAGTCCCAGCATAAGATACAAGTCTCCACACACCACTTTATCTACTTGTTCTCATTTTATGTTGATAATCTTAAACGTTAAAAGTTGCTGTAATCGATATGTAATAATGAGTATGTTAACAAAAATCTAAATGAGTGTCTGAATGAATGTGTGAATGAAAGTCTCCGGTGCCATTAGCATCTTTTTTGTTCTTTCATCTTGCTGTTAATTAGGCAACACCTGGCTTATAATTCAGGTTTTGATAATATCTGAAGAAAGACCCCCATTTTATGTCCCCAGTCTCGTGAAGTCCCAGAGACTAGAGAAACCTGTCATTAGGCATGTTACAGCAGGAAGCGGCTACATCATAACGGCAACAAAGTGATTCCGACCAGCGTTAGTTATCCTCGACCAAACAACCATTAAATCTAAATTAGGACCTGCAAACTTCTTTGAACAAAACAGCCAGAAAATGTCATCAGTATGAAAGTGTGACTTATTCTAGGTACACGAGTCCTCGCAAAGTGACTTCAGATGGCTCATGTCTCAGCTAATTTTAAAAGCAATTTTCGTTCCAGGAATCTGTTAAATGTATATAAGATCATCCTGTATTAATAAAACCTGAGGCTGAGACACAAAAAACATTTTACAACTTCATCAAGGCAATATTTCTTGCTTCATAAAATATGAATTGTCTGGAATGTCCGCTTCAAATTCCAAAGGTAAACGATATGAAGCTCAGAGACTATAGCAGTTCTATGAAGCTATGTGAGCTAACACACTCTAAGGACAAACATATCTAGATACAGCTGTACAAATACTGCAAATATGAGCTAATCAGTGGGAGTTCATAAAGAAGTTGACAAGGAGAAGACATAAAGTTCTGTGGCATGATTATGTGGTAACTCGACATTATAAGTCTATATTCAGCTCAGGCCATAACAGTTACAGAATGAATTAAAAATTATTGAAAGAGGCACATGGATGGTCATAAGACAGTTTTAATAATGGATTGCAGCATATTAAATAGTGGATTGTAGCATAATGAATAATGGTATCCAGCATATTGAATAGTGGATTGTAACATACTGAATAGTGGTGTCCAGCATATTGAACAGAAGTGTCCAGCATATTGAATAGTGGTGTCCAGCATATTGAATAGTGGTGTCAAGCACATTTAATAGTGGATTGTAGCATATTGAACAGTGGATAATGGATGTAATACATTGAAAAGTGCATCGTAGCATATTGAATAGTGGTGTCCAGCATATTGAATAGTAGTGTCAAGCATATTGAATAGCGGTGTCCAGCATATTGAATAGTGGTGTCCAGCATATTGAATAGTGGTGTCCAGCATATTGAATAGCAGTGTCCAGCATATTGAATAGCAGTGTCCAGCATATTGAATAGCAGTGTCCAGCATATTGAATAGTGGTGTCCAGCATATTGAATAGTGGTGTCTAGCATATTGAATAGTGGTGTCCAGCATATTGAATAGCGGTGTCCAGCATATTGAATAGTGGTGTCCAGCATATTGAATAGTGGTGTCCAGCATATTGAATAGCCGTGTCCAGCATATTGAATAGTGGAGTCCAGCATATTGAATAGCCGTGTCCAGCATATTGAATAGCAGTGTCCAGCATATTGAATAGTGGTGTCCAGCACATTGAATAGTGGTGTCCAGCATATTGAATAGTGGTGTCCAGCATATTGAGTAGTGGTGTCCAGCACATTGAATAGTGGTGTCCAGCATATTGAATAGTGGTGTCCAGCATATTGAATAGTGGTGTCCAGCATATTGAATAGTGGTGTCCAGCATATTGAATAGCAGTGTCCAGCATATTGAATAGCAGTGTCCAGCATATTGAATAGCAGTGTCCAGCATATTGAATAGTGGTGTCCAGCATATTGAATAGTGGTGTCTAGCATATCGAATAGTGGTGTCCAGCATATTGAATAGCGGTGTCCAGCATATTGAATAGTGGTGTCCAGCATATTGAATAGTGGTGTCCAGCATATTGAATAGTGGTGTCCAGCATATTGAATAGCCGTGTCCAGCATATTGAATAGTGGTGTCCAGCATATTGAATAGCCGTGTCCAGCATATTGAATAGCAGTGTCCAGCATATTGAATAGTGGTGTCCAGCACATTGAATAGTGGTGTCCAGCATATTGAATAGTGGTGTCCAGCATATTGAGTAGTGGTGTCCAGCACATTGAATAGTGGTGTCCAGCATATTGAATAGTGGTGTCCAGCACATTGAATAGTGGTGTCCAGCACATTGAATAGTGGTGTCCAGCACATTGAATAGTGGTGTCCAGCATATTGAATAGTGGTGTCCAGCATATTGAATAGCAGTGTCCAGCACATTGAATAGCGGTGTCCAGCATATTGAATAGTGGTGTCTAGCATATTGAATAGTGGTGTCCAGCACATTGAATAGTGGTGTCCAGCATATTGAATAGCGGTGTCCAGCATATTGAATAGTGGTGTCCAGCACATTGAATAGTGGTGTCCAGCATATTGAATAGTGGTGTCCAGCATATTGAAGTGGTGTCTAGCATATTGAATAGTGGTGTCCAGCATATTGAATAGTGGTGTCCAGCATATTGAATAGTGGTGTCCAGCACATTGAATAGTGGTGTCCAGCATATTGAATAGTGGTGTCCAGCATATTGAATAGTGGTGTCCAGCATATTGAATAGCAGTGTCCAGCATATTGAATAGTGGTGTCCAGCATATTGAATAGTGGTGTCCAGCACATTTAATAGTGGATCGTAGCATACTGAATAGTGGTGTCCAGCATATTGAATAGTGGTGTCCAGCACATTGAATAGTGGTGTCCAGCATATTGAATAGTGGTGTCCAGCATATTGAATAGTGGTGTCCAGCATATTGAATAGTGGTGTCCAGCATATTGAATAGTGGTGTCCAGCATATTGAATAGTGGTGTCCAGCATATTGAATAGTGGTGTCCAGCATATTGAATAGTGGTGTCCAGCATATTGAATAGTGGTGTCCAGTATATTGAATAGTGGTGTCCAGCATATTGAATAGTGGTGTCCAGCATATTGAATAGTGGTGTCCAGTATATTGAATAGTGGTGTCTAGCATATTAATAGTGGTGTCCAGCATATTCAATAGTTGTGTGTAGTACAGTTAAGCTTGCTGCTGAGATTATGAAACATACTAAAAACACGTCGGCTTGGATCCCATTGCACTAAGTTAAGTTAGCGTTAAGGTGATAATAAATCTCATACTCTAACACAGGCAAATGGGCCATAGTGCTGTGACAGATTGCTTGGTGCAACAAGCCCTGGGACCCTGCTGGAGGTCATTGTGACATCATTTGTTTGTTTGTAAGTTTGATATTTAACACCCAGCGATACTCCAGATGCATGACAGCCATCTGTAAACCATCAAGTCTGGACCTGACAATCCAGTGACTGACATAATGAGCACCGATCTGCACAAATGGGATACGATGACATCAACCAAGTCAACAGCCTCACCAACTGATAATGTCAAGCAAGGGGAGTGGAAATGGTTTTATGCCGCTTTTAGCAATATTCCAGCAATATCACAATGGGGACATCAGAAATGGGCTTCACACATTGTACCCATGTGGGGAATTGCAGCCCAGTTCGGTGTGATGAGCGAACACTAGGCTATTCCACCATCTATTTATAACAAGCATGCGCTGATAAAGTCAAACTGTTACTAATATCGCATAAGGGGGTACTGTGATCAAGTTATTTCTGAAGTTGTCGCCATACATCAATAATATATCTTCTTGTCAATACAAGCTTGGTGGACAGTCAATACTATCTATAGAGGTGAGAAGATTTTAAGCGTCAGGAGTGCATGGATGGTAAAAAAAAATGAACAATATACGTCAGAACATTTATGGAAATAATTAATTAGTCATCAAAATTATCTGCAAAGTATTCATGTAAATTCACAAAATTGATTCACTGTAAAACTAAATACAACCTGGAGTTTTCATTCTTATAATATCCAGCACATTTGACAGAAAAATATTTGAGATTAAAGACAACACACGTAACAGGTTATCACCAATATTCAAAGGGGCAATTTGATTACTCATTACACTGAAATGAAGGGATGGACTCACACAAGAAATTACGCAAATCTGGAACAAAACAATTTAAAAAACCCTGCTAATTAGCTTAAAGTTTGTTTTTTATTGCCTAGAGACATGTAGACAATTAAAAAATGTTGCATTTCACTACCCAAAAAATAATGCTGACAGCGAAGCACACAGACAACACCTCTAACATTCATTTGTTGTCTTGTCCTCGAATAACAATCTGAATATCTTGTGTAGCTCAAAAACACCCCCCAGAGACCTCTAAGCTACAACTGATGCAGCCGGTTTAGATGATTCCTTTCATATAATATCATTAAGAAATGGGTTCCAGACAAATCATGTTCATTTTCTAATTTTCAAAAGTCTACAAAAATAGTGTCCCTGCTTTGAAACTAACCTGGATATGAAGTCAACAGTTTAACATGTCTATAGTTTACAGAACAGAAACTGAACAAAAGTTGGGGTCTGCAACAATTACTAAGGCCAGACAAATTTTATTTCTGGTTTTACGGATCCGCCAGTCATATTTTTTCAAGAATAAGAAAAAATATAAAATGAATTTGCCCTGCTAAAAAATAGAATCCTAATGTTTTTATTGGCCAAAAATGTAAACTTACAACAATATATTTTTTTAGATTGTATTTTGCCCCATATACATTTCATAAATTGCC